AGCAGTAGTAGTAGCAGTAGCAGTAGCAGTAGCAGTAGCAGTAGCAGTAGCAGTAGCAGTAGCAGTAGTAGTAGTATTAGTAGTCGTCGTCGTCGTAGTAGTAGTAGTAGTCATAGTAGTAGGAGGTACAACTCAGTCGTCACTATCGTCATGATTACCCGGGGCTGTCCTTCAGTCAATATCTTCATCACCACCGCAACACGAACGACAGGACTAATGAGCAAAACTGATTATCAACACAGACAAGGATAACATGACTGACAACAAGGACAATACATAATGATACGGTATTGACCATGGCCGTGGTGATGATGATGTTTATGGTGATGATGAGGTAGTATTCACTGACAGAGATGCTGCTGCTGATGATGATGACGACCGAGACGATGATGACGAAGATGCCGACGGTGACGATGATGGCCCGCCACTCAAGTCCATCACACGGCTGGGGTTGCTTTCGACTCACAACGATCTCACTAAACACCCAAACTCAGCCCCCTGCTCAGAACCAAGTGGATGGTCATGGTATCGCCTGGGCAGCCGGGGCGAAGGTCCACTCTTGGGAGACGCGGTCAGGGTATTTGGTCTCCAAGCCTGAAGGGCCGGCCACTGCCGCCTGCAACCCTGGTAGCCATGTGGGTATAGATGCAGCTCAGGGCCCGTACAGAACAAGAATCTTACTACTGAGACGACTGGCCGCACCTTGATTGATGGAATCAGGCTCTGGAGTTTTCTTGATGGCAAGTAAATACATGTATCCAACGTTTGGCGGCTCAGGACTCGTTTACTCTTGTGTTCCAACTCCAAGTTCTGAAAGCTCAGCATGACTCCACTGCTTCGGCTTGGGATGCAGCAGGGGCTCGCGTAACAGCTTTAATGAAACCATCCTCAATTAAGCATGCACACACACACACTCCGAAAGGACTCGTGATGACTCATCCAAGCGATGCCTTAGCACCAATGACCAACAGCCGTTTAGCCACAAAGCCTGAAACGACAGACGCAACATGCTGAGCCCATAGCGTGCACCCGACACCGACCAGAAAGAAGCCCTCTGCATCCCGAGGTCCCGACCGTCGAAGTCGGCGTTGAAGGGCGAGCACACCAGGGGATGAATCTTCAACGCCTATTGCGAAGGAGATGTGTGTAACGATTCTACACTGTCATGTTGACTACGGCGATTGCGGCTACGGCGATGATATAAGATGTCACCGTGCTCTCCCCGGGACAAAATCGTAATTGCGACGATGATGCTTGTATGATGCTGTCAGTGCATGAAGATGCTGGTGATGACGACGACAAAGACGATGACAAAGATGACTGATGTGTGTTGGTGGTGATGATGATGGAGGCTATTCAGGGTAACTTTGCACCGTCTGCAGGCCGTGGAGAGGAAGGCAAAAACAGTGTCGGGTTGACACCTGCCACAGGCACCAGCCCCCACCAGGAAGAGGATAGTGCCCGGAACGGTGACCGCGACAAAAAGCTTCGGAGACTGTCACTTCCACCACCGTGTCATGATTACCTGCTTGCTCGGTTTGGTGTTTTACTGAGCTTACTGGTCTTTGTGCATGTGTTGGCGCCTCTGCTGCCAGAATATTCTTCGTCATCCGGGTTGTGGCATCTTCCGGCTGATCTCGTGGTCTCAATTTCAGGCAATGCTTTGATGATTGTGTTGGTAGCCGCTGCTTTCGCAGTTCCGTTCGGCGGCGAGTCGATGTCCTGGTCCGCGAAGTCGTCGCAGAACATCGGTGCACATGTCAGTGGCCCCGGTGCCATTCAGTGCGTTGGCGTTTGCTTCCCTTGGTGCTTTACCCCAGCTCATCGCAGAGCAACATGCTGAACATCAAAGGCAAGCGACAGAGTTCTGGCTACAGCTGCCGATGCGTCCTGAAATCGACACCAGGACATGCGATCCGACAGGAGATCACAGGAGCCCCATGGTTGACACAATACCTACAACAGCCGGGAGACCACACAGATAATCATCACGGATCACGCCTTTCCAGGTATGAGCTGCGGCTTGAATGCCTGTCGGAGTCCGTCGGCTTAGGAGCTGGGTAAGGCCGTGTCTGTCACAGGACAGGAAGGCTTCCAGTGCCCACAGTTTCGGGGTTCTAGTTTCGGATCGGCTGCCGGGGGTATTTTCGCATCAGAGGGGGTAGTTTCAGTGCCCGGTGTCGGTACAGCGGCAGTCAGTTTCGGGATGCGGGTCTGGCAGTTTCAGTCCGAATCTTGCAGGCCTGGGCCTGAAACTGACCATGCTGTGAGATCGAAACTGACCACATGCTGATCCGAAACTGTCCCGGACCATGTTCCGAAACTCCGGATCGAAACTAACCTCGAAAACCCTGAAACTCACAACTTCCACCAAACTCTGCCCAAAACCGCAAGAAAACCGAAGCAACACTATCCCTTGTCCACGTGCCTGCATGCTCAGCCGGTGCAGGGTTGGAGCTCGATTCCTTATCCGGGCTTCCACTCTGGATTCTGCAAAACTAAGGCTTACCAGCAACACTTCCCGGGCACCCTTAGCTGTCGCTTCCCAAAGCCAGGTGCATCGGAATCTGGGCCCCAAAGGCGGACCCGGCACGACTACATGCTGAGAGCCCCAAACCCTGTCCTAGCTTCACAAAGCCTGGAAGCGCAAGCCCTGCAAAGCACCAGGGGTCCCAGCAGAATGATTTTCCTCGGCAGGAGAGACCGGGGTCTAAAACAGGCTATGTCGCACTGCTCTCCATAGAAGCCGGCTTCATGCTACGAAAGCTTTTATGTTCTTTGGGCTTGGCGATACTATACAAGCTCTAGGGCTGCATCACAAGATGGTGTGGTGCGGTCATGGGCTTACGGATAAAGGTCCTGTATCTGTCACACTCAGCAAGATTTTGAAGAAAAGATTGCCGCATCACGCCTATCTGAAACGAATCGCATGAGATGCGCCGGCCGCACTACACACCGCGTTTACATATTAACGATCAAGCACTATCAAGGTGGATTGAACTGTAAAGGAAGTGGACTGTCACCTGCTGACAAAAACCTTGATCTTGACCTTGCAAAGTCCAGTAAAGGCCCCTTTCCAGTCAACGTAAGCTCTAGGGCCGTTGACCGCAAGGTGTGCTGCATCTTGATTCTTTTTGGGGTTGGGGTCTTCCATACAAACCCTGACTGGCTGAGTTTCTTGGGGAAACAACACAAAACCAACACTTGGAAGACTGCTGGGCTAAGTGCCGTAAGTACTGTAAGTGCTAAGGAAAGGACACGCTGTCTACGAGGTCGAATGTGCAAGCATGCGCAACGAGCATAGTTGTAGTTCCCCAGACCCTGCCTGAGCTTCGGATGCTTACACACTTGTTTGGTGTCTTTTCGGACCCCTAGACCGTACATCAGACTTTAACCAATCTGGGAGAGCCCGGGGCTTTGGCATTTGGGCCATCTGCTAACAGTACGAGACAGTAGTCGGAACTTTCTACACAGAAAAACCCAGAGCGTTCGAGCGCTCAAACCGAAGAGATTAAAAGCCTGGAGCCCTCTCACGGAGGTTTCTGAAGCCAAGCTTCCGATCTCCCATGGCTTGCCGGAGCAACTCGTACTGCGTCTCCTCCGGGAGGCAAGGTTTTGACTCGGCTTCAGGGTCAGTTTTCAGGCTGTATGTATCTTCGCCATGCCAAAAAACGGAAGCACAACAAATCGTGGCCATTGAAGCCGCTCAGCCCCAATGACTCAAGACCCCTGGTCAAGACCCCAACTGCCTCCAAAAGACCGATTATTAGCCGGCATCTCTCAGCGGCCTCGCTTTGGTTGTCGAACCACCACAACAGAGTCTGGTTGCGGGACTGCCGACTCCGAGGTTCACCCAGGGTCACTGGTTCACCTCACTGGGTCACAGAACAAGCCTGTGAGGGTGCTGTCTCCTTACCGCCCAGATCTCAGAACTCAATGTGTCGGGAGGCATTTCTCTTTGAGCTCGCGCATCAAGAAGGGCATGTACATCTCCTGTGACAGCAACCCTGTATCTCATGCGAAGTCTATCTGGCCAGGGCCCGGCGGATGAGAAGAGCACAAAAGCTAAGCAAGGATCCATCCCAGGCTACAACGGTCCCCGGGGCTCAGGTCCCAAGTGTGGACGTATACTCTCCGGACTACGGTATGTGGATGCGAAGCCTTTTGCTGGGCAGCAGGCTTAAACGCGGAATCGTTTTCGAGAGTGTCGCAAGACGCAGCAGAGCATGAGTTTTTTGATGGTGCAGCGACATCCGAAGCCCTCAAACCTGCGCAAACCCGCAGAATTCGCTTCCGCTGTGCCTTGGCAATTTCAAAGGGGAGGCCGCACCTGAGCCACTGCGGGGCTTTGAGGTTGGCCTGTCCGAAGAAGGTTTACCTTGTGCGGAGGTCAGGGTTGCAAAGTTTGAGATCAGGGAGAGGCTTTTCATGCTCGTCGAGATCTGCATCGTCACGATCAAGCAGTCAAGCCAGCTGCTCGCAATCGGATTTGAACAGCTAGCGACAACTCAAGCCAAGAGCATCCATGAAAACTCATCCGATTTGGCCAATAGGGCCCTTATTGAATCGGGGGCTTTGGAGCTGCAGGCGAGGTCTGAAGTTGAGGTCATGGAATGCTTCTCCATGAAGCGCAATTGAAACAAACTCGTGCCAGGATGTGCAATGTTGCTTCGACCAGCAGAGTTGGAACAGCCCTCGACAGAAAGGTGAAGGCTCTGATCTCTGATATGTGACGCGAGGCATCATGATGTTGGGGCTATCAGCAAGCTCGAAATGGCGCAGTTCCATGCTGCAAGATGCTGTGAAGTTGGAGTGTGAGCGGGCTCTGGCAAGCCCGGCGCCCACCCTGATTCCACACTTGCTACATGTAGAATCAGCAGAAGATGCACCAACTTCACCGACCTACATCGACATCCTAACACACATGCAGTTCATGAAAAACATGTAAGAATGTAAGTCCTCCTAAACTGAACGCAATGAGAGCCCGGCTCGTCGAGCTTCAGTTTGGGCTCAACAACAATGACCTGGCAGGTTGGTTATCTAGATCTGAAAAGAACATCCTCCGCGACACATGTGACCCAAAAGAGTATTGTACGGGTTTGAACTCAACACTTCCTCAAGCAGCCGTGAACACCGCAGACTTCGGGACGAATTGTGCTTGGCTATAGTCCTACTTCGACACCAAGCCAAGAGGCTTCAGTTGACAACTGCACAAACCACGAACTACTGGGCATATATCCTCACGCAACGACTTCAATTTCCCAGATGCCCGGCCGTCCGTGCGGAGTAGTCCACACGCTTCCCGAGCATGTTCTTTCGCATGCGTCCTGTCCAGAAGAAGCTCAAAGGTCCACTTAGGAGTTCTACCACTCAGCATGGCACCCGCATCCGAAAGAGAAGCTGGGGAGGATGCGTACTTTTGGTACCAAGGACATATGTAGATTGTGCTGCTAGATTGAAAAAGGAGTGTGAAGTACCACTGATGCACCTGCATCGCCCCGATTCTGCTTGAATCTATCTGAAGAAGCACGTCACGACTCGTTAAACAGCCCCTGCCGTGTTGAAGATGCTCGGCACAAGCCTGTTTGCAGCCGTGCTTCTGGCAGGCAGGGCTCCCGTTGTTTCCACGCAGCATGCTGACGATTGTGCTTCCTTGCACTATGACACTACGCCCTGAAGCCGAACGCCAACATCCAGCCTTGCTTGCCCTTCAGCCGTTTGGCCACGGACTCCAAGGGGTCCCCGGAACTCTTCGTCTTCGCGGGATTGATGCGACCTTGTGGCTTCTGGCTTCTGGGATCCTCATTCAAAAGAGTCAAGGGCAAAATACAAACAATCAAACTACAGGGAAATTCTGAAATGCCTCAAGCGGCCCAATAGTGATTCAGTAGTGGCTAAAGCCAACACCAACACATGCGGGTACACGCAGACAGACAAACAAACAAACATCCACATGGGTCATCCGGGAGTCCAGTCTTATAGTGACTGGCTTCCTCCTCACGTCAGCACACATATACCCCAAATCTTTGTCTTGGCCCCCTCCATGCAGTAGAATCACAGCATGGCGAAACTGCAATGAATGAACTCTGTCAAGGTTCGCGTCCGAACTGTCCTCCTCTTGTTAAGGCGCGCTGCCTAGCCATCCGTTCCCGCGAAGACCATCGGTCCTACTTTCTTTCGCAAAGTTGCGTGGGGTGAAACGCCACCTGTTGGAGGGCCGCTCGGAATTGTTTCTTGCACTCTTTCATTTCACAAGGGTAGAGCGAGCGGTCGCTCTCTTCTTCCTTCAGGTGCAAGGGGCTCGTTACGCCCCCCCGATCGCTCTCTCTCTCTCTCTCTCTCTCTCTCTCTTTCTTTCGCCAGGGCTAGGGACAGGGGAGATTCCTCTGCCCGCACGCGTTAGCGCCCCCCCGCCCCAGTATGTTACGGAGAGGCTCTGGGAAATCGGCTTACACTATGAAGGCAGCTACGCCTACGGAGAGACACGTAAACCCACGGTAAGAGGCCAACAGTACTGCAAAGGATCAGAAAGACAGAATTGAATGTGGGCTTGCTGCCTTCGCGAAGAGGGGGCACAGGCGGTTACATACCATGGGCAACAAGTAACGGAAGTCTCTGTCTCTCTCTCTCTCTCTCTTTCTCTCTGCTCCTGCATTTCTTTCTCCCTCGAGGCGTAATCATGAATCAGAAGCCAAGGATGTGAATGCCAAGCACCACGCCGTTGTCGATAAGACAATCGACTGCCTCAGCTGTGCAACCCCCTATTACCAGCCCAAATCACCACTGGAAATCTGGTGTAACCGGAAGATGGGCCTTGAAGCTGAACAAGATCTTCAGTCTGTTTAACAGCCAGATTGCTTATGGCGACCAGGGCAGAGGCTTGCAAGCACTTCACTGTAAAGCCCGCTGAAGGGACCATCACTATACCATTCTAAGATGCCTCACTCATACGCATCAGTTCTGAAACCTGATTCCTGGATATGCAAGAGGCCCAAAATTCCAAGGACTGTACCATCTGGAGCATGAACTTGCGGTAGCGGAGAAGTCCTGCTGGAGCTCCTGGGCTGTCAACGACTTACAGAGGCCTCCTGGCGGCGACAACGTGTCCCGAAAGTCCTGTTATGATTGGAGAAATGCTCCTCGCCATGTGACATCGCACATGCTGATATCGCACATGCCGACTGCATGGAGTTCATGGAACAGCGGAGCTTAAACTTCGACACCGTGGCGAACAACCCGACATTCCGCGGCTCTAAGCCCGCTCTTTCAAGGCTACCCCCAGCAGAAGGACAGAGACGAGACTGTTCAGGTTTTGAAAACCATGCGATTCAGTGTCTTGGGCGATCCCTACCCACACAAAACACCAGTAGCTACCGAAACCTAACATCTTCGCATCTTTCAAACTGTTCGGTTTAGAGGCACCCGATGTGCAAGAAACCCTGCGTTCGCTCAGCCTTCCCGCCTAAGAAAACAGACTGGCCCAGCAGAAGCTCAAGGCTGGAAAGGCACGCTGACAGCTTTAACCCCAAACACTGGATGCTAGCTCTCTTTTACCAAAAACCTGAACCCTGAAACCCTGAGCCCTAGTACCACAGAAAACGAACCCTAGAACCTGCTCCAACCCCAAGCCCTGGCCTAAAAAGCAGTTGCCGGGAGCCCAACGCTCAGCGAGTGCCACCTGGAACAATCGCCCGGCAGACAGGATGTCCTGTTTGGGGCTTTGGGGCGTTTGTGTTGAGATTGCGAGTTTGCGGCTAGGGCGAGGGCGAAAGATTTGGTTTTGACCTGCTTTTGTTTTGCGCTTTTCCGTCTGCAGTGTTTCTGTATTCGGGATGCCTTGCAGCTGAACAGCTGAAGGAGTGGGTAGCAGGAGGCTGCTTTCCAATGGACTCTCACCGATCATGATATGCATTGGGATTGGCTTTGGTTAACCTACCCAAAACGTAGGGCTTTGGGTTTTTATTGCTTTCGGCTTGGAGTGATTGAGATTGCATCCAGGCAAGAAAGAGCGCTCCACGCGGAATTTGAGATTTCTTGCGGGGGAGTGTCTGCCTTGGTGCTCGGCCTCATGCACTTCCGCTGTGCGCAATGGCAGATCTGAAACAGGCAGAGAAAGGGACCAACAAATAAAGGACTGCACGCAGACAAAGAGAGAGAGGGAGAGGGAGAGAGAGCTGGCGTCAGAGAGCGAGAGGGAGAGATAGATGCAGATTTTGCACGGAGACCTCCAGCGATGCCCCAACTCTCAGCTGCTCCTTGTACATGATGTTCATGTCATCCGGAAATTCTTCAATGTCCTCAGGAGAATTGCTCCGCAGCCGGAGATCCGGTGGTAGCACCTGGGCATGCAGGCCTCACCAAACTTTATTGTGCTAAGCTTATCACAGCTCAGCTGGGGACGGGCCCACTTACTGCAATCTTAGAAAGTGGCGCAGATTGACTCGACTTCCGTATGCCAGTCGCTCTTCGAGATGATGATTTCGCCGGCTGCCCCAATGCTGCTGCTGTTGCTACCACTGCGCCTGATGCTGCCGCTACGACTGCTACTGCGAATACCCTTATTTGGTCAAAGTGGAAATAGAAACGGAAATCGTAACAGTACCTTACATGGTAATGGTTTCGATAATGGATGTCGGAATCAGAATAAACAATTTTGGTAGAAGGAATGGTCTGTAAAGCAACAGCCCTCCTTACAACCATACTATATACTCATCACCGCAACCATGTACTAGCGACAACATTATTGCTGCGAAAACAATTCATGGCCGCTGACGGGGATGATGATGTTGGTGATGATGCATGCCGTGGTGCTATCGGCAAGACTGACTGCGACGGCGAACATGATTCTGATGATGACAATGACAATCTGATTCCCGACCTCAGAACTCAGAAGCAGCCACAGCGTTCAGGTTGCGGCTGGCAAGGACGTGAACATCATCCATTCTGGAAGCTGATGTCGCGCCGTGGCCTTTCACTTCCCTTCAAGCTCTCAATATTTCAGGCGGTTTCTTGCGGTATGTCACAAGGCTTCAGGCAGAAGGCTGAGGTTCCGAATGGCTCAACGACTTCCAGAATTGGGGGTCTTGATGGTCATGCAGAGGGCACGCTACACTCTTCTCATCCATATGGCTGATTTTGACTAGGCTTTGGGCTAGTCCCCGAGAAGCCCGCACTGCCAAAGCACTCAACGATGTCTAACCGCTGGTTCATCGTGGTAACATAATCATGAGTGCTCGGAAGTTCAGTAGCCTGCAGTCTGCTTGATGCTCCAGAAACGCTGGCACCTGTAATCCGATACCTGTCTAAATTCCACCAGTAGCCCTTAGACCCAGCACCACAGAAGCATGATCATGTCAGGTGCACGGTGCAACAACGAGCAAGCGATCCAGCCCTCAAACTGAGCTTCGAGCTGTCTCCATCATGTTGCGCCTGGCCAAATGGGGAAACGCAAGAAGCCCGGAAGTTCGACGTGTTGTCTCAATGCGGAAGCGGCCTAACGAGGTTCACACTCGGAGCTTGAGGGCAACAGGCTAGTAAACCAAAGCACCGTCACGAAGTTCTGCTTCGCAAAGCTTGGACCCGTGAACCCTAAACTAGATTCGGAGGTTAAACAGAATCAAAGCGTCGCGTGTTTGTGGAAGTGTCGAGCTAGATGCCTAGCTGTCAGCCGCAAGGCCGTGAAGCGTCCAAGTAATGTGTGCAGTCCTGACTTGAAGACACGTTTACGGTTGTTTAGTGTTTCGCTCGGATTCAGAGCCTACGGGTTTAGGACTCCTCATTTATGCAATATAGGGCTTAGATGTGTATCTCAGAGATCTTGCGGGCAATCACCTGCAACCTGGTCACAAACCCAGAAGAACACACCCTGCCTTTGGCGCAAGTCCTTCAATATGCTCGAAATCCGCGTCGCGACAGCTTTGGTCGGCCTTTGATGAGGGATGCGGGAAGCTGGAGGGACTGGCATTTCAGTGGAGAGCTGCCCAGCCACAAAAGTGTCATTCCAGGTTCACACGGTGCAGCAAATCATTCTGTGGTGAAGCGTGACGGTTTAGACAACTGTCACATGGGCAAAACCAGGATTGTGAGCAGCATGTGCGACCAGGCTGCGCATTCACGGATGCGAGGTGAAGGTTCATCCTGGCAAACATATCGCTTCATGTCGTGGTTTGCTGTTGCAACTTGAAAACCTTGACGTGCTTCGGCATGTGCCAAACCATTGCCATTCAAGGACATTCAAGGTCTGTTGAAATTGCATTGTTGCGGCACTTACTGGAACAGCTGTTGATCTGCATTGGTCTTGCGCTATCCTTCATGAGCTTTAATACTTTAATGATGGCACACCCGGGTAAGCTGGCTCTGCGTGCCGCTGATGTGTCAGAAGTTTCTATCGCAGCGAAAGGCCACGAGTGCTGCAAGGCTCAGTCACTTGGACACTCAAACGTGGGACACTCAAACGCGCAGAGACAAGGGACCATCAAGAGACAAAGACCTAAACACGGAGTACACGGTCGTCAGCTGGAGTATATCGTGCAACGAAAAGGGACTTACACTCAAGCGGTAGAAAAGCGCCCCCCCAAAAAAAAGAGGGAACAGTGCTGCTGGTTCCTTCAGCGACATTCTGTGATGAGAAGAGGCCCAGGCGGCACACCCCGAAGCCCAATGCGTGGAATCTACACTCCGGAAACCCTGAAGTCGTCTCTCCGGGCCCTCTGTTGTTGACGTGCTGCCACTCACACGATCAAAATATGATCTGCAGTCATGGAAGCTGCATGGGTCAACAGTGACAGCCAAGCTTCGACTAGTTTTCAATTTGTCAAGGACCCTACATCCACAACCGCTGTGTAGATGCCACCATGCAGCATCCACACCCTAACACCCACCCATGCGAATCCTAAATAAAAGTCCCTCCAACAACTCAGACATGCCGCAAGCTCAGAGCCCTGAAGGCCTCATGGCAGGAGAAGGCCCCTGGCTCTTGGCGATGCTGTCGATCCTCGGAGGCTGGGGCTTAGGATTTCTTTGGGATTAGGGCTCACAAGGTTCTGCAAGCTGCCCCCGAACAATACGTCCGAGTCATCAAATTTAGCAAGGAAAAGCCCACACCCCTTCAAAAGAAAAGTGTGAAACAGGGCACGACTGGGCGACCGAGTTTGGGCTTCTGGGTTCTGGGCTTAGGGTTGATTGAGGCGTTGAATGATTTTTGAGGGTTTGTTTGGAGATCAAGGGCTTGGAGCACTGTCAATCTTCGCGAGGGAGAACACTCGCCAAATGGACCTTCAGACTTCGGGTGTTGGGTTTAGTCGTGCAGAGAGTCCCACGACACCATCTTGTTTCCTAGACTCCAGGCGCGTTGTGCTTCTAGCCTTTGGGTACTAGTCCCCGGCGTTCTTCAACTGCTGCGATGCATGAGATTGTGTTGTTGCTAGAGCGACCGGGCACTGCAGTGGACCACAGTAGAACAACGGGCAAAGAAGAAGCAGTCAGTAGCACAACAACACAGGTGACCATCATGGGCACCATCCAGGTTTCCATCGGGGTTGTGAGAAGGTGCACGTCACGGGCTGGCATGTTGGCGGTCTGACTCACCCTAAGTACTGTGGTTGCGGGCCAGGGCATCGCAATGACTGTTGCGACTGGCTTCGTGATGTGTATGTTCATGGCTGGTGAATCTGAAAGCTTCTGGGGCCTGGACAGGTCGATCTCCCACAGCAATCTCTGCAGAACTGTGACGGGCTCCAGCTGGCAGAGCGCCTGCAACTAAAGTCTCCACGACGTGTTGCAGTCGAAGTTACTTTTTTTTATGGGCTTGGTGAATACGAGGTGGAGGAGTTGACTAAACAAAGTCAACATGTTGATGGCACTACTACATCACACTCTCAAAACACAAGTTGTAACGGCGACTAGAAGAAGCCCCATTATCGTGTGAGGGGTGATGTTTCGGCTGCGATTTCAACACGTATCTTTTTCATTTCGGAAACGGCATCATCGTGCAAGGACCCGAACGTGCTCTAATTATAGTAGGTCAAAAGCGCACAGGCACGCAATCATAGAAATGATCAAGTCTCATTGCGCAACCCTGCAGGCACCGATCAAAATGCCCTAGGTCTTGGTTGACACCTCTTGGATTCCGGCTTCGCCTCTGAAGGCGGGACTTGGGCCACGAAGCCTCCTCGAAGAAGACCGTTGACACGTTGGCGTCAAGTCGAAAACCCCGAGCCCGTAAACTCAAGACCCTACAGCCTATAAACCCGCCGACTCGACAAGCCGGTAAATGCTAAACTCAGCACATCATGGGGCAACAAGCATCAAGTCTAGCAAAAAACTCTACATGCACCAGCCACATCTGAAATCTACCCACGTACGAGCTTCTGCAAAGCTTGACCGCCAAGCCTCAGGCTCTGAAGACTCACGGCTCAAGCCACCCAGCCTGCCGTACCACAGCCGCGCCCGTGCCGACATAGAGCGTGCCTCGCTCAATTGAGACTGCGGCACTTCGGCTGAGGGGATCCGAAGGGAACATCTGGACGTGAGGGTTGCTTTAGAGGGCTTGGGCTTTCAGCCATGGTCCGTATGCCTGAGTTGTTTGGGGTGATGGGCACGTGGTCGCCGCTCCCAGGCGAAACTCTACTGCGAGGCCCTTATGGTTCCGTATCAAATGCACGACGGCGCCCTGCCCTGGAGAGACCTTCTTCGGAGCTGTCCGGACACTTTGTACTATTTTGCTCCGCGGCCTTTGCCCTTCCGGTTCCGGGCTGGGTTCTTTTGGCAGGGAGAGGAAATGCCGGCCTTCGGATTGGCGATATTACATGGAGGACTGAAGCGCGAGAGGACTGGTCACCGTGCTGTTGCATTGACCTCGACGTACACCTTTGCTTCTGTGCAGTACTTCAGACGATGTCTAAAACACCTTGTCTGACTAATGATGCCTATAGCGTCAGTTTCCAATGCGTGTTCCCTAGACTGAAGAAAGCATCCTGCTGTTGCCTGAAGTCTCATGGCTAAGCTCTGTCAACCCTAATTAACCCAAAGCTTGTCAGCATCATGAGTTCTGTGTATACTTGACCCAAGTTTAAAGTGTTCAGAAGGCATCTTCTAGATTCTCCAGCCAGTACGTCAGCACGTTGTTTAAGTGTATTCTTATCAGATGAAACCCCATGTGGGAGATTCCCACGGCTGGTGGCCTTCGGCCTCCATATTGAAAGGGATGGGCGCGGGCATCATAGTCGGCCTCTAGCTCAACCGGTCCAGCATGAATTCATCTATTAATTGCTCCTCTACCGGATAGTCCATCAGTACCACTACTACCAACTTCTTACACTGCTAGCGGTAGTACTGGTACTAGCTGATGGTATAGCAGTAGTCATCGTACTACTACACGTACTAGTGTATGAGTACGAGTACGAGTACCGGTACCAGATCCCGTACCCGTACCAGCAGCACTACTGCTGCTGCTGCTACTACTACTACTACCACCACTACTCCTACTCCTACTCCTTATCCTTCTCCTACGCCTGCTACTCTACCCTACCTACCGCTGCCGACTACCACTACGACTGCCAATGCCGCTGTTGCTAGCACTACCACTACGAATACCAAGACCACTGCCACTACTACTCACATTCTACTACCACCGCTGGCAAACGCAGGGAACAAACATGCACCTCTTGCACAACAACTTGGAGCCCTGGAAACAGCTGCCTCCACTGCAGGGATCTCGCTACTACCATAGCACCAGTACATTCCTTAGCATAGTCTTGGTTGCCTAGCTGCAGAGAGGTGCGTTTTGGATCAGTATAGCGGACGCGCATCAAAGCAGATCTTGACTTCTGGGCGTTTGATGAGGAATTCTTCGACGTCGCGCTGAGTCCTAGGTCGTTCGCTGGAGCTTGAAAAGACAATTACTGTCTCTCACAGCTTACATCCAATGAACCAGCTATCACACCCACGCAGAAGCCTTATGAAACTTTGAGAAACACCGTTATGAAACCCTTGCAGGACCCGTATAGAACCTTAACAGACATTTTCTGCCGTAGAACCTTAAAAAAACTATGATAGAACCGGAGCACATGCCGACGCCCTCTTGGGCTGATACGGTTGATGATCTAAATCCTGCATTACCCATAATAAGGAAAAAAACCAAAATTCCCGTAGTTTAGGATCCTTAAGGTAATGCAGGACTTATATCATCAACAGTGCCGGTATAAGGTCTAGGGCTTAGGACTTGGGAATGAGGTCCTGGGTTGACGGGTACCTTTCTTCAGTCTGCTAGAGGGGCTTTAAGGGTTTCAGGGCGTCGTAATACAAGAGGTACCTTACAGGATTCATAGGGGTTCACAAGGGCTTTGTTCCTTCTTCAAAAAACCCAGGGCTGCCTTGCCTAAGGCTTCCACAAGGGCCTTTGCAGGGCTCTGCAACCGTCTTATCGGAATTTGGGTATTGAAACTAAGGCGCTGTTTTGGGCCTAAACCCTAAATACTTAACCCTAAACCCCCGTCTGTGTCACAAGCAGCCTACTGTTTGGGATTCTAAAGTGGGATCCTTCTTTCCTGCAGCTCCCACACTGCTAATGTGGGCCAAAACCCGCCAAAACCCTAACCCCTAAACCCTAAACCCCTAAACCCCTAAACCCTAAACCCTAAACCCCTAAACCCCTAAACCCCTAAACCCTAACCCTAAACCCCTAAACCCTAAACCATGATAGGCCCAGCGACACGGAGCCTCTGCCCACAGCACGACCGGGGCGGGCAGCGCGCCCAGGAGGCAAGTTGCCAGTCCTCGACGTCGGCGATCGTTCTAAAGGCTATTTTAAGGACTCTTGAAGGGGGGTTTAGGGTTTAGGGTTTAGGGCTTTAAACTTAAGGACCTAAACTGGTTCTAGAGGGACCTATATGAATTGGGAGATTACAAGAATCCAAAAGGGTTCTGCCAAAGTTTGTGTGTGGAGCTTCGTTTGAAACTGTTGCTGCCGACGGATCGAGGGTCTAGAGCTTGAAGGATCATGGAACTGAGCAACCAGGATTAGAAATACAGTACATTAGACATAAAGTAGATTGGTTATGCTTACTTACAGCCCCAACTACTGTACTTCTATCTTTACTTGCTAAGCCCCAGTATCCTCCGATCCTGCCTTAGAGCTTCAAACCTTAAGGCCTTAAGGACCCTGGTGATGGCAGCAACTGGCCCCTACGCCAAAACCTCAAAAGACCCACAACCCCTTAAGGGACAATAAGAGGGACCCCCAGAAGGGACCCCTAATCCTAATACCCTTTATATAACAACTTATAGTACCCTTATAATATAGTACCCCTTATAATATAGTCTCATAAAGCTTACCCTTTATATAGCTCCTTATAGTACCCCCTTATAAAGCCCCAGAAAGTCGCTCCTGTAGTCCCCTCAACCCCAAAGGCCAGACCTGAACCCCTTGACTTCTCAACCCTAATCCCCTAAACCACTACAGCCTAAGGCCCTAAGCCCAAAACTCTAATAAAACCCTACCTTCAAAAAGGGAACCCTATAAAGAGAGGTCCCAAACCCTAAGAAACCTTAAACCCACAAAAAGCTTGAAAGTCCTAAAACCCTGAACCTAAGGTTTGGGGCTTAGGCTTTTAGGCATTTCAAGGTTTATGGGGGTTTACGGTTGGGCCCTAAACCCCTGTAAACCCTAAAACCCTAAAACCCCTAAAACCCTAAAACCCTAAAACCCTAAAACCCTAAAACCCTAAAACCCTAAAACCCTCAACCCGGTGCTGGAACTGCGGCAGAGGTTCAGATCCAAGGAAACCAAGCTTCCGCATTGTCCGAGGGCCCGCAGTGCGGCACCGGACACCTAGCAGACCAACTTCGGAGCTCGGGGTTTGGGATTTTAGGGCTTTAGGGCTTTAGGTTTTTGGGTTTAGGGTTTAGGGCTTTGGGGTTAGGGTTTAGGGCTTTGGGTTCAGGCCCTTAGGGTT